GTCTATTATGTTCAGGGTTGGAGTCAGTAAAATACACAAAAGTATAATAAGTATTATACATACATATTACCCATCTACTTTTATACAAACAATATTTATATCATGACGAATGAATCATAATTAAAAGTCAATTATTTTAGCTTCGATGAGAAGCTGAGAAGGTATTAATTTTACCATGATGTGTTTTTTTTTTTTATGTCTGTTGCCACTTTTTCTCAGCTCTCACAGATCGATTTCTTTCAACAATGCGTCAAAAGATCACAAATCGTATCTAGTTGAAGACATTACTCTTAAAAATTGAAAAATTTTCCCTCGTTCCCCGCAAATGAGGGAAATCTCCAAAAGTAGTACCGACCCCAAGTAGTTGGGATTAAGGCGAGGAAGAAGAAAAAGAAGGGTTTTGACTTTATTTAAATTAAGAAAATGACTGGAAGTTGGATTATAACAGTTGAAATGTTGTAACATGATAAACACAATTATTATTAATAATTATATCTTTCTGTATAATAAAACTTAACCTTTCGTTAGTCGGTTTGTAGCAACAATGTAGTTTGTCGCTTGTATAACGACTATCATACTTATCAGATATGATTAACGGACCATTTCATTTTAAGTTAATTAATAGTTTAACTTGTTTTAATATGTCGTTAAATATAAATGATTAAAACACCTTGTGGTTTATTAACCATAAATATGATAAATGAAGTTGTAAATGGTTGTTATGTAAAACATACCGTAGCACTTGTTTAGATTAAGAAACAGGAATAAAATATAGGCGAGTAATTAAGCAACTAGCACAATAAAAATAAATATTACAAGTAAGATTAATAAGGAAATTAAATTTAATTGTTAAAAAAAAAATTAATCACGGACGGTATTGGAACACATCCATTAATGTTAATCGGAAATTAATGAAAAACACCAGGAGCGGTCTGGACACTCGCTTCTAAGCGTTGGCTAGAAGAAAGAGGAAACACGTGTTCTCCACACATAAATAAAAAAATGAAATAAAATAATTAATAAAATACAGCTCATCACATAAATATAATTATTAAAAAAAAACGGAGATCCCCATCCAATGGTTTGGATGCTTCGCCGAAAAGATTTGGCCGTTAGACGTTGGCGGCTCTACTCCATTAATGAAAAAATAGTGACAATAAGACAACAAACATGTGCACTTTAGCACGATCAATGGAAGAAGAAAGGATGAAGAGCTAACATGAACTGACATTTAATACTAAAGAAAAATCGTAAAAAAATTCAAAATTTAACAAATTTTTAAATTCTATAAACGACTGAATTAAAATAAGAGTTTTAGGTATATTTTTCTTTAAACTATATCTATAAAATCGCTATCTACAAATCTTAAAAAAAATGTCAATAAAAATATTATTTTTTGTAATTGTGAAAATTAACATACAAAATATTTTAAATATAGTCTTATAATGTAAAAATTAATTTAAAAAAACAAAATTATAAAATGTTATGCAGAACATAAGTTATATGAGTTTTTAATTACATCTGTTTAAGTTTGTATATTAGAAAACGATATATAATAATTTAACAGAATGCACCTGTATTTATAAAACTGTATCATGGTTTCCTATTCAAAAGTTGTATTATGTTCAGCATTTCAATGATTATAAATATTTTGGTTTTTTTTTAATTATGGAGATCTCAGAACTGATTGTGGCTTAACATAACATTTCGCTAATTATAATTTTACTGTTATTATAATTTTTTTTTTAGTCAATTAAATTTAAAAGGTAGTATTTTTAATAATTAGTTGAAAATGAATAATNTTAATAATTAGTTGAGAATGAATAATTATAATATAATATATTATGATTAGTGTGTATATTCAAATTGTTTAATAAAAAAATAATCAGATCAATTTTTATGAGCACATAATCGCGTTTTAAACACAATTTTTAGAGGATTTAATTTAAATTCTTTCTTTCTTATAAATATTTCAACATTGTATATACATTTACAAATAGTTTTCGTAATTTTGGAGGAAAGCTGTAATAGAATTAGGGAAACTAAATCTCTCTAAACAATGGCAATAATTAATTTATGTCATATATATTAATACTTATCTCAGTTTTTAAAGATTTTTAGGAATAAAAAAATTAAATTTTACATGTTTTAATACAAATGATGATTTTATTTCTATAACATATGGAACTACAATTCTTAAAAAAACATGTATGTTGCACAAAAATATTTCAGCTTCATACAACTTAGTTTTGAAATCATCAAAATTAGAAAAGTGTGTTACACTTCTTAATATCAGTATCGTAGGCGTTATATCATATTGATATGTTTTATATAATTTAAAAAAAATATATAATTGCATATATTTCATGTGTTCTAAATGTTTATGATATAAAATGAATGTGCCTTCTAAAAAATTTCAAGTTATCTTCTTTGTCATTTTAATTGTTTAATGAACTGCATTTTTCATCGATATTAGCAGGTACACAGCATTGTTATTATCAATTGTAGTAAGGTACATTATTGTGAGTTTATAAATACACTGACTGACATTACAAAAAGTATATCTATTGATAGTCATAATTGATAATAAACAATCCGTGACTGTGACAGCAATGACATAAAAAACCAATTAGCTACCTATATTTGTAATCCATTATGTAGTATATACAGAGTGTTCAGTAAGTCAGGAAACGGGTTTCTATTGTTCTCATTATTACAAACAATGAGAACAATAGATACCCGTTTCCTGACTTACTGAACACCCTGTATGTATATTAACTCAAAAATTTGAAACTTTGAATATTTATATCTAATAAACAAATAAAGGTATACTAAAAATTCAAATGCCATTTACTATTAAATTAAAAACTCAAACACTATTAAATTCAAAATATGTGTTTCCATTTAAAAAAACAAAGTTGACACCCTTACCAGGTTATAAGGGATGAACTTAAAAAGTATTACATAGTTAATAATTCAAGAATGATGTGTAACTAAAGATAATCGAAAAAAAAATGTTTAATTTATTATTATTTTTTAAGTAATTGAGTGGATTATGGTAAAAAAAATCACCCTGTATATACATATGTCAAACNTTTTAAGTAATTGAGTGGATTATGGTAAAAAAAATCACCCTGTATATACATATGTCAAACTTAAATAACCAGTTTAATATGTATTATTATGTCATAGAACAATTAGAACAAATATACTTAACTAAAAAAACATTTTGACTTTTAACACAGAGAATATTATATGTACCGCTAATTTTCTTATAACATTATTTTATTAAATTTATATCTTATTAACATACTTTAAACTAAAAAAACTAAAATGTTATTTCAGTTACAGCTTCACTAACTGTATTAGCTATAGTCGTGGGCGGCTGTATCATTGGTCCTCCAAAAGAAGTTAAAAAAACATTGACAACCGTTATGAGAAATATTCCTATGATTACATAGTTTCCAAATTTGAACGCCATGGCGCGTTGATCACTTTGAGTTACATTGTATCGCGCACTTAACAAGAGTGTAATTCCAACTGAAATCTTTTTTATAACCATTATAAAATATACACGTAGCTATTACGAGAGTGTAATAATTCATACCTGAAGAATAATACTAATTAATAGAAGAACAACGCAGATAATGAAAAATGCACCTCCATTTCCCGTTTCTAAAAGATATCTTAACTGACTAGCGTTGGCAGAAAATAACGCGACATTCATCATGCCATGGGATATAAGTTTTTTGTTTCTGTACAAGTTGAAGGCTTTAGGAATTTCGTCACTGATGTTCTGTAATTACATAATAAATATAATTTTAGTGAAATATAATCTAACAACAGTATAGATGAAATTCTAAAATTTATATTAGTCAATGTATACTAAATATTTTATTCATGTAAATTTATTAACAATAATATTTTATAGGTGTAAATTTAAGTAAATGGATAGTCTAAATTAATTTGTTGCCGTCATAAAAATTTACTTATTTTCAAATAAATATAGCTTATAAAATATTTTGAACATGTTATAATAAAAAAACTACACTGTGAGCTTAAATCCCAATTAATTAAAAAAAGGTGAATTTTTATTATCTCCCTTGTATTGAGTTCTTAGTAATTATTTAATCTAATTCTAATATTTTTTCTGATTGATCTATGTATCATTTATTACAACTTGAACGTATGTATTAACTAACCTAATCTGGTATCCCTTAAGTTGTTAGAATCAATATGAACGTATTTTATCGATAGATCTCAGAGTTTAATTCTTGCTCACTATTTTTATTAACTAGTACATGAAAACCATTTTAATTTTATATATGAATTTAACGAATAGATAATAAGAAATTAAATATTGTATGACGACCTTCATATAAGAATCTTTGTGTATTATTGAAATAATATTA